ATAGCCTATAATTTACTTCTGTGTCACTGTGAAAGGGGTGAATTTCATTATCTTCATGTACTGATGATTTTACAATGATTACCCAATTGCAGTACACCCCCTACCCTGCTCGCCCGTAATAGCTTTACAGATAAATTGATTAGATTCTATTAGCAATGAAAGATTTCTAAAAGAAATGGTGGTCAAGGAGAGAGATTAATCTGTCATGAAAACTTGATTTATTTGTTAGTTTGTGTGAAGCACTTCATTATTTACTAAGATAACACATACCAGTACTTACAGATAAAAATAGGAACTAAATATTTACTTGTAATTTAGCCCCTGTGTTGAAGTATGTGTTCAGGAATTGAACCCTTATTGCTGTTATAACATGTATGTATGGGACTAGGTTAAGATGGGATGATCGAATCCATATGAACTAGGAGTAAATTTACAATAAGTTCAATTTCATTTTCTGCCTTAAATCAATATTGCAGTGTTAGTGCTACATGTATCTCTTAATATTTGAAGAGTAATGTTCGTGTATTATATGTGTGCTAATGCATCACTTGAATTGTGCAGGGGAAAATTCTTCCTGAATTTCATAATTCAGTGAAGACCACAGAAAACATTTTATTGCGATCCATAAACCGGGAGGGTCGTCACCCGCCAAAGCAACGATAACAACACATTCAAAAAATGCAAAGGCTCATGGGTAGATGCTTGTTTGTAAACAATGACACACTATGGCCATCTGACGCATGCACAGGTGACGTGACAACTCCCTCGTTTTAAGACAGTGTGTCACAGTGAGTTATATTTATAAGTACAATCATATAATTATGTCAATGAATTATCAAAGTTTGGTGCCTTAAAGATGTAATATTGATGTAAATATTCATTTTTTAATATCCGGTACCGCTGTACGATACTCCATACTGTAGACCCATCTGAATTATTATTTATCATAAACTGAAACTGTACTTTTTGCAGAGCACACAGTATTTGTTAGTTGAAAAAATTAAAACCACAAATACGCGTGTGCAAAGATTGTTATTGTACATACCCAACAAAACGGCACACATGTGTCTCAGAGAATCATTGTTTCATTGCTCAAACAAATGCTGAGCTACAAGAACAGAGTTTTCAGTAAAAGATAAATCATAGTTCATTGTGTCTACATACAATCATCAATATTACATCTTTAAAAAGTAATTGTAAATTGTAATTTGCAAATTAATATAATAGTTATCAACTGTGAGACTATCTACTGAATCATAATACTTATCATAGTATCTATTCCCCTAAAATTATAACTAAATGAATGATAACAATCTTCCTACTGACTGTTGGTATATTTATTGTCTGAATTCAAAATATGAAATTAAATTTTTAAAATCAATTTTTATTAATAAAATGTCATACAGTGTATATTGATCTCCTTTTATGTGATCATTTACCTTTTCTTATTGTGTACATATAGATCAATCAGATATATATTTAATAGATTACTAAGTACAAGCAATATTGTGTTTTTTACTAGGTGGCCTTCATTGTTTTTTATATTATTGCTGGTTACTTGACAATTACTGGTACGGGAGAGATTATCTAAATTTTGTCAATTTTTGTCTTCACTCTGGGGAAATATTTGTTTCCAATGAGTGTTTTAGAATATATACGACTAATTATATATTTGATATACTATGCCAGTTCATTGACGTTCACAGTTGTGATCAAAATGTATATTGTTGTTGGCATAGCGATCACCTTTATTCTAGATCCATTTTATAGTCAGAATGAGATGTTCTTTCCAGAAAACTACCCATCTTGGAAATAAAAAAAAACATGCTTAAAACCACGTACATGGTACCGGTATATGCAATTTCATACTGTTAGCTAACAAAATGTCCACTCTCTAGCTAGGCTATTTATTCAATGTTTATGTCTAGTACATTGTACATGTATACCATAAACTGAAAACTTTATTCTTTCAATAACAAATCTTTCCCTTCTCATTGCCAATATTTAATACTGACTGCCATTTTAAATCAATCGTAAAATCCTATTTTCTCTTTATTGTTACAGTTTTCATGTTCACTCCTTCCCTGTCCTATTTTGATGCTATACTTCAAGTTGATAAAAGCATTATCTAGTATAAATCTATTCTATCATCTTTCTGACAATCTTAGCTTTTAACAGTTGAATAAATACAATGTATTCACTTACTTCAAGTTTGATTAAGGATTCGGAAATACATCATCTGGTTTAATAGTGGTGTTTTGAGTTTCACTTGGTTGCTATGCCACTAAATGCCAGTGTTCATTTTCAATTCAATGATAGTATTAAAGGTAAATGGCTGATTGTAGAATTAGATGACTTGGCTGTGACCTTCACAGATGGCCTGCAATTAGTCTTTCCCACTATTTTCACAAAATTTCTCAGTGAGAGGCAAATCTCAGGAACATTTCTCCTTATTTAATGCATTTTGTATTAAAATACGAGTACACCTGATTCCCAGGTGTTTTCTAAGATGAAAAACACAATATTATATATTTATTTTGTTTTGTTTGTATACATAAATAACAAATATTACATACATTGCTAATATTTCTTAGATATGAAAATAACTGCATAGTGTACAATCTTTTTAAAATGTAAAAGTATGCATATTTTTTGTGCATAATCAGTTACAAATTCATTTCACAGGTAGTAGACCTATGTTGTAATTGTTTTCTGTGTTACACATACACATAATACGTAGATTAAACCTGGAACATTGATATACATTATACTGATTTTAAGGTGGTTACATTTTGCTATTAATGAAATGCTGTTTATTCTGAACTCCAAATTTTTTTGGGTAGAGTCCAAATGTTAGTGTGAATAGCTAATTTCTACGGTAAAAAGAAAAAAACTAAAATCACCAAATTACATTAATAAATTATTATGTTTGCTAAAAAAAAAAATAATAAAAAGGGTGACCCTCCTCCTATCTGAGAATGTGTTGTATATTCAACCAAATTGCTTTATATTGTTTACATACTCTTCAAATTGAACCCTAACTGTCAACTAGCATTGAAATGGATGAGTTATTCCTGAACATATATCTAGTATGAACTTTGTAAACTTCTCATCCATCACAAGTAATGTCTTTATCCATGGTAGGATTCTGACTAACCTTTGACCTATATGATCATGAATTTTGTGGCTGACTGTGTGAATTGGTCTTTTCAGATAAAAAACACTCACAAGTGCAATTGTTGTCTTTTGTTCAACTCCTGGTGGCGCTGTTCTTTTCTGTACTAAAAGGTAGTTGCAGAGCTGGTTATTATAATGTATTTTTGGATAAATTTTCCAACAAAACTGTGTGAACAATGATTTATGTTATAATTCATGAAGTGGCAGAAGTAATTGTGGTAAATATGGAAAAAAAATTGAATTTTATTCAAAAGCAATGTCATTCGTTATATGTGAAATTATTGCCATCAACATGAATATGAAATCTGCAAGTCCGGTAATGCATCAGGAGTCAATCTAAGTAAAAATATTTGTGAAACTTTAGACTAATAAGAACATGTGCACACATGTACTCTAGCAGATTCATGTGATGTTTTCAATTGCCTTGAGTAAAAATGGTGTCAAGCAGTGACACTCAGTAGAAATTCTAAATATTAGCTTATGTTGTGAATGATTCTTCTTTATCTTTGTAAAATACTTATTATTGTATATCTATCACTGAAAACAATAGAATTTACTGACCTGTGTTAGAAGAGTCATATCAGCACCCGTCCCAACGTATTAGCACTTTAAATGTTCAAATTGTCCTTTATATGTTGTAAACTACATCATCAGTATTGATGAGTTCAAGGTTATTGACGTCACAATTGGACACTTTCTTTTATTTACATTGGACGAAGAAGTGCCATAGCACTTAGTGACAGGAATAGAATAGAATTCGTTTGGGATATAATCTCTCATCAAATTGGTATTACAAGCAGGAAAAAGATAATAATAATAATAATAACAATAAGGTGTCGCGAGAATACTGCAAAATATGCACTCAGGCAGTACTGGGTCACAACAACCTCTGCTATACATTGGTCGATATGACCACTGTACTGCCTTATTTATAAGTTGCAGTATATTTATGATAACCTCATATTATCCCAATTTTTTCGCTGGTTGATATTCAGTTTGTATTGCCTTGTTGGATTCCATTATGTGGTATAGGATAGTTTGCAGATATACATTGAAATAATTTTTTGGTTCAAATTTGTGTATATTAATTACCTAATTTACAATGTATTAGTTTCCAGATACATTTCATGAATCACTTAATATATCGAATGACTGCTTATCCACAGATTTGATTAGGACTTCTTTAATTCAGTTAATGATAGCAATTACTTATATCATTTACTTTCATTTCATTTATTTAGCCAATTATGATTAAACTTGATCCTGAATATTGTTAACTTTGCAAATATATATGAAAGATTATACAGTGTTAGTTTTCAGTTATTTAAAAAACTATTGTTTGTTTTATATCTCTGTCATACTCATACTATTTTCAGTACACAATTAGAGTTCTTTTGGTTTATCGTACTAGATTTGTTCTATGATTAGAAAGACTACAAGCTTTTCTTTAGGTGTATTTCTCAAAAGGAATTGTCTGTTGTTTTTAGCTGTTTTTAGCATTTGTGCATCATTATTTCAGTTGACCTGCAATAACAAAATGAATATCATAATAGTATTTACATTGCACTTTATTGGAAGCATGTGCTTATCTAAGTCTTCTGTTTAACAGTTAGCATTAAGGTAGATCATTGGTATTTTACCTAATAAGTACAGATGAAAAATGTTGTAAGTGTTGCATAATTACTGATTTTGACATATCATCAAGGGTTTAGCTTTAACAGCTTAAGAATTTGCAGCAAAAAAATATGTATTCCTTTTCCTAGAAATCATTTGTTAGTTTACAAAAGTACAACAATATAATAATTGTTTTGTCTCAATTTCAGATCACCACATTCACCTCTCAAAAGTCCTGATAATGGTTATCCACCGTGTTCTCCATCAGTTATCATAACTCCACCTGAAGGGGCACAATCACCAAAGGCAATAAGACTACCCTTTCAACCTGTTGGACCTGCATTTCGCATATCTGAAAAAGATCTACGAGCCGCTTCTATGGAGAGGCTGAATGAAATTGATCAGAATAAGAAAAAGGCTGGCCATTTGGATGATATATCCTTGGAGATCGAGGAGCGGGAAAACAGACGGGAAAACCGACGGACACAAATTGACAAAACTTGAGTGATACCTATCACACCTTCACCAGGTGTTTTCTTTGTTTTCTTGAATGGTGCTGTTGTAAAAAAAACGGATAACCACCATGTCTGAAGTCTTATACTTCCATCAGAGAATTATTGGTTCAGATGCTTAAGATCTTCAAATACTAGAGACGTCTTCGTATATCACTGGTTCTGACTTTCACTATGTCATGCTTATTGTCTAATGCGTTTGAGTTCTTCAGGTTTGCTTTATTTGGGGCAAGATAACTGGGTTTGAACAGTGAATGTTGGTGACAGATGGCTGGTCCCATGCCATTGCCTGAAATCCAATCATATATACATCATGCAGTAGTGCTGCCTGTTGAAACACGAGCTGCCAATTCACCAGTTTAAGTAAACAACAAGTGCATTGGAGGGATGGCTTTGGTAACTAGCAATACTTGTATTGACTATATACAAATGGGTCAGCTTATTGGGATGCTTTTGTGAAATATGCAAGTAATGTTTTGTTTTGGTGGTGTAATTTACATATAAGGTATGTAAGAACATGACTGCCAGGTCAACGCCTTATAAGTGATAAAATCATACAACATTTAATATTTAAGAATTTATGTGAACTGAAATTTGAAAGAGTTTTTTTTTTAATTTTATTTTTTTTATTTAAAATGAAAATGCTGACTAGTTTATTTACTCTTGATCAACTTTTTTTTTCTTTTTAATAATAATATATATTTGTTCATATTACATTATTCCAATGTTTTTCAATGAGTGACATTTAAAATTCACAGCTTTCATATTTGTAACTATCTTTTGAAAAAAGTTCCTATTACACTCATTGTAGTAATGTAGGAAGGGAGATAATGAGAGAAATTTAAATAGACCTGTTTCATTTGTATAAGCCATTATGATCTAATTTAAAAAAGAAAGAAAAAAACAGATACAGATATAAATTGGAGACACTCTATATGAATGTCGCATAGGACCTTATAATTAATTTATTCAATTTTTTTTTAATTTGTGAGTTGAACAAAACTAAAAATGTATTGTTGCTCAGTGCAAGGCACTATTTTTAGAGCTTCAAAAGACTTGAGTATATAATAGATTTCCTTACAATCAGATAGGTTTTAAAATATTCTATGATGTGAGTGTATTGTTTGTTGTTTCTTTACTCAAAGTAGCTTCCTTTCCACAACTGGATTCTATACAAATGGACTTTTATTGATGGTTTGTAAATTGGTCAATTTTCAGCGCTTTTCTTTACACCTCATTACTCTGACCAATCAGTTTTTTTATTAAAGGAAATCTGTAATGTGGTTAACAAGCAGCTTCCTGTTTAGAGTGGGAATCCGTGCAAGATATATCTATCATGAAGCTTGTAATTTTAAAATCATAATTCTTTCTACAGTATACTTCATATCACATTTCAAAATGAAAATAGAAAGTGATTTCAATAAACAATTTAAAAAAGAGTTATAAAAAAAAAATAAACAATAAAAATGTTGTGAACGATACTGAAAATTCATGATCGATGTCATGGAAATACAATTGGGTTTAAAAATTATTTTTGCAATGTGATTATCAAAATCACAATAAGATATATACACGATGAATGAATTT